AGGAGGGTGAGAAGGCTCCCCTTAGCCCCTGGGGAGCCCACCTGGAGCAAGTGTGGGACAGGAGCTGTGCAGAAACGCGTGCTGGAGGAGGTGGAGATGTCCTGAAGGAACTGTGGCCTACACGAGAGCAGAGGATGAACATGAGGAGCAGGAGAGGGAGAACATCCCCTCCCTGTGCCAGCAGGGATGGGAAGCAGGCTCAGGAACAGAAGAGTAAAACTGAGCCTGGGAAAAAGACAGAGGGAAGAAGGGTTGGTTATTGTCATAATTTCTTCTTCCTTCTCACTATGCCAACTTATTTTAACCGGTATCAGGTTATTTTTCCCACGTGGAGTTTGGTTTTCCCTGTGAAGCTATTTGCTAAATGATCACCCCGTATTTATCTTGATCCATGAGCTTTTCCACTTTATTGCCCACCCCTTTTTTACTGAGAAGGAGGAGTAAATGAGCCTCTGGATGGGGGTCTGGCTCACCACAAGCTGGCAGGTCTTGTGGCACGTGAGCTTGTACTCAGGATTTAGAAGTGTGTCTCTTTCCTCTTAACTACTGATTCCATCAAGAAAAGGAATAACCTCTCCCCATAATCCTAATGTCTTATTTATAGCTCTTAGGTTGTCAATGGCAAACCACAACTGCCACTTCTGGGACAACCCAGTCCCCTTTTGTCAGAAAACTTCTGCAGAGAATTATCAGATTAAAACAAACAAAATCCATCACCAAACCCAAAATCAGTCAAAAAAAAACCCAAAAACTTTTTCCCTCCTTGTTCTGTCTTGCCAGAAACAAGAAATATTATAAAGCAAGAGGAGAATTTTATTTTCCTTGAGTAAGCTAGTCCAGCACCTTTATACCCCAAAGGCCTAATGCAATGTAAAATTGAGATCAGTAAAATTTAAATGTCTAAGCATATTTTAAAGTGTAACTTTTTTTTTCTGTGTCTTAATTTCTTTGGTTTCTAAGTATGGATAATCTTACTTTAAAACATTTAGAGTAATCTTTTCCTTGTGTTTGTAAAAGATTTGAATATTTTTGGACATAAGCATGACTGAAGTGGAAAGTGTTATTAGTATTATTAGTACATCTTGAGCTTAACTTCTTTTGGTTCTTAGCTCTTGTAATAGCTGATGTGTGAAGTCTAACAGTGGAAAAAAGAGAACATAGTATTTATGGAACAATTTTTGTCATCAAAGCACTGGGCACATTTAAGGTGGCAATATTTTTGACTGGTGCAACACTTCCAACTTTTAAAGAAGTTTATAGTAGATGTAAGAATGAGCAGCCTCTCTGTTCATATGTGAATAAAGCACACCCTTTGACTAGGACATTAAACAAACTTGATAGTTCTGACACAGCTTCATAT